GTGACAATTTTAGGAAAAAATGGCGGCCATTTTGAAACGGCTGGCAACCCCCCTTACGTATGAAAAAAAAAATGTTGCACATACTTTTTTGATTTATCAATGTCTACTCTACATCATATCCAATTTTTAAAAAATATAGCAAAAAAAAATGCAACCTCTGATATTGCTACATTTTTATCCCTTCCTGGCATGTTCTATATGCTATAATGGTACAACTATTGGTGAATGCAAGCAGAAGCAACCTCTCTATTATTAAATTTTACTTGGCAAAGGAAGAGTAAGTCTAATCAGTCATTAGTTGGCGGAATCTTTTGACTTTTTTAGCAATTACTCAAAACATGGGGGAATTGGCCCCAATGATCACAAAAAACCTTTGTTCTGAACTTTTTACGGTACATAGCTGGTAGCATTTTTGTGATAATTTTATAGGAACAATGTTAGTTTATCAACTTTCTTTCAATAAATCACAGAATGAAATATAGTTTTAAATGATATCACTACAAAGCAGACTTTACATTTGCTGCCAAGAAATTTAAGACTAAGGAACTGTAACATCCAGTTTTAGTCAAGAAAAATCTTTACTTGTTCTAATTTTCAGTTGGGACCTTTTTCGACCCAGACTCAATTTTGGCTGAGTCATTTTGATTATTATTGTCATACAGTATATGTATAAATTTTTTTTAAATACAGTAATGATAAATTTTTTAAATATTTTAATTACCAGTCTTTTTACCTGTTCAATTAATTTTATCTAACCTAAGCAAAATTTTGAGATTAAACATCTTAACCTTTCAGGTAGACATTGCCACAATATTGCGTTAAGCATGCCGGCATAATAACCAGTCTATATCCTTTCACACAGCGTCTTCGTTTATAAATTGCAGTAATTTTCAATTTTCTGTCTGAAAGGGCCCTAGAGAAAGGTGTAATATTGGTGGTTTAAATACCACCACGCAATTGTTTTCAACTTTAAACTGGTTTGTTTATGCATAAATGCACACGCCGGCTTGATTGCCACAATATCGAGTACACCCTTTCAGACACAGCAAGCCAGTAACCGTTAGCTGCAATATTGCGACAATATTACTAGGGTGCATGGTGGCCTATTAGTAAGCCGGCATATTGGCGTAACAACCCTTTCAGATAGAAATCCATTCAGTTAGTCAGTGGAGGTGAGAGCATCCTACAATGGTAAATATTCCTATTCTGCCAATCGCATGGTGGCTTGATTGCCACAATATCGAGTAAACCCTTTCAGACACAGCAAGCCAGTAACCATTAGCTGCAATATTGCGACAATATTACTAGGGTGCATGGTGGCCTATTAGTAAGCCAGCATATTGGCGTAACAACCCTTTCAGATAGAAATCCATTCAGTTAGTCAGTAGAGGTGAGAGCATCCTACAATGGTAAATATTCCTATTCTGCCAATCGCATGGTGGCGTTAGAATAGCAAATATAACACTGGAGTAGAAGCGCTGCCTTCCAAGAGTACTGTATGTGCACATGAACTTCTTCTCATTGCTTTTCCCTACAGTAGCTATAATTGGGACCGCAGCTGCCAATAGGGTAATTTGAATTACCAGCATTCTGTTACGTTTTTAGGTGCTTTGTTTAATATTCTGTTACATCTGTTTCCTTGGTTGGTAAATCCCTGACAGATAGGCATTACTCCCTTTTGAGCAATCCTACCGGGAACTCCTGAGTGGTTTTGTAGCCTTGCTTTTGTATAATTTTTATGTTCATTTTTGTAAATTTTAAATAGTAAAATAAATTATATGGTATGATACTAGGACAGGGGTTCTCAACTGGTGGCCTGCAGGTCATCTCTGTGTTATGCGGCCTGCGAGAACAAGCCGAAATTGAATATTTTCTGTTAGACTTGGGCCTAAATTTCTAACTTTAATTAATATTTTTGCATTCTGTTTTGCCGACTAGTAGGCCTATATTGCCCAAATTGTAGCGAATTAATCAATCAAATTGGAAGGACTATCGCAGCAAACAGCAAAGAAATACTGTACTGTACTAGCCTACTGATGACCCATTGTGTGATATAACGTTTTGCATTACCAAAACACCATAGGTAACTGTATGAGCGCCACAGTACACCTCTTTCCATGGCCCTTCAAATTTATTCAGTGAAGAATTTTGGCTCCTGTTGCCAAAGTAATTGAGAACCCCTGTGACATCCCTGCGGACATAAAAAAGAATACATTTGCAAAATTGTATTTTTACTTCAGAACACAGTCTTTGTTTGTACGTAGGCTACGCAAACAAACATTTTTAACTAGGCCTAGATAGAAGGCCCTAAAATCCGCCACTGCTAGTCACTGTCATCTTTTTTATTTAATTTTCAATTGAAGTCTCACCTTCCCCTTCTGCATCGGCATCAGACGAATCATTGCTGTTCACCAATGGAGTCTCTTCATCATTCAATAACAATGAATCTTCTACAACTTCATATTTTGTATTATTAATATTATGTTCCATTTCAAATTCAATTCCTCCTGTATTTTGATCAGGGGCAGAGGAGGCATCTGCAAATGTAGAAACTAGCCCCACACGTCCTCCTAGGCGGGAGAATCTAGATCCTATTCCTATCGGGTCATGGTCTAACGCCGACGGCTGATCGTCGAATATTTCGTTCCCTCGAAATAGTTTAATATTGTTTCTAACCATGTTCCTTTAGGGGCACCGTACTACTGAAACACGTGCAGAAATTCGGCCTATGAGTTAGAACGAAGGAAAAACTCTTTTTCTTTTTTCGGCACAACAAAAATAAATGTAACCCAGTGTATTTTGCTATCCTTTCTATCTACTAGGTAGCTGTCTCTTATACACATCTAGATGTGTATAAGAGACAGCTTTTTGGCTACGACAGTTTAATAATTTGTCATTATCAATACTAATTATCATTAATGAAATAATATTCAGTCAGAGGGCTTATTTATGGTAATAAAATGTATACTAAGCCTGAAGGTGGCGCTTTCCTACGGCAGCCATCTTGGATGGTACACATACACAACTCTGCATTGCTCCGCCATCTTGTCAGCACTCTAGTTGTTTAATAGCTCTATGTTGGCACCAGATAGTCGACAAAACGTTACGGCCAAACACACGCCATCTCACGGCCAAATTCGGCAAAAAGTGTTTTCGATATCTGCCAAAATTCGGCCAGATTTAAATCCGATTAGAAGACAACAGTACATAATATTCATTTAAAATACAAAAATTACACGAAAATCAACTCTCATTTGTTTAAAATTGGAGAAATAAAAATGATATACACAGAACAATGTTAATCTTTCACTGTTTTTATAATTAATCACCATAATTAAATGCACAGCTAGCTACATCATAATATTAAATATGTTTTATAATTAGTTGCTAGCATATAGGCCTATTTAAAGTAACATTATTAAGATCGATCTAAATTTGATTTAAATGTATTAAATAACGAACATTGTAGTCGAACTATAGCAATCTAAGGGCCAGTTATAGAATCTTCAATGACAAATCCGTGGCTCTCTTAAATTAGAATGAAAGTTGCAATTAGTATAGGTACCGGTAACACAAACCGGTGTTAAATCAAACCTATGAAAACTTTAATAAATACTTTTTATCTAAAACTTTCTAAATTCGCCTCTGAATGTTATTGTTGCAGTAACAATAAATCAATGTCGCTAGAAGAACTATCTTCTTCATGATTCTCATATATACAACCTAACTCCAGAGTGACTTCGAAGAAGTCTCAGCAACACTTGCTTGAAATTGGAGGTCATGCCATTGGACCCGAATGATCACATCGAGCTTTTATATGGCACTTCACATAAAGAACACTGCAGCGCCTACACAATTTATTATATTTTTTTCAATTCTCAACCAAAAGAGATAAAAACCTCCACTAGGTTGGAACATAAAAATAAAAAGAACACAATATATGGTACAAACTTGCAATAAACTGTCTTTATAAGAAAGTATAGTACATACTCCAAGTATTGAAATACACGCCATCGTGTTGGAATTCAATATTTCGCCATTAATCATGTCATCATCAGGAATGTCTTTATAAAGTTTTAAACGAAGATAAACTTCATAAAAAATATATATTTCATCCAAATATTTTAAATGATTAAATGTAAATGCTAATCTTTTAAACAAACTCTCTTACGTCAACTCGGCCGGGGGAGGTGGGAGGGGGCACACATTAAATGTTCAGTGCGAGTACGACTACGGACGTTCAATGTAAGTAAAGGTACACGATTAGAATAAAAGCTTTTGTACAAAACAACATATCCGAAACAAGTCTACGTTTTAATAGGCCTATATTGAAAAAAAAAATGTAAGCTTTTCACAAAATCCGGCCAAATAGAGTTTGGCCGTGACTTCTCAAACGTTACGGCCAAGCGAATTTTTATACGGCCAGATTTAAGGAATCTGTCCTTCAAAAAGGCCAAATGGCAACCCTGTGCAACACCTAAAGCCTGGATTCATTACACAGTCGCTACAGTGTTTTCAGTGCAATCTTTGTATTGCGTAACAGTTTCCGGTGCTATAATAATAATTTTTTTTAAATTAGAAAATTTGTGTAGCGCCTGTTAGAAAATATTATTTGTTACTGATATAAGATTTATTTATTAAAGAGAAAGGTTTTAAGGAGGGTCTTGAATGCATCAGTATCAGAAATTATCTATGTTTGGTGGGAAGATAGTCGGTTCAGCAAAAGAAAAAGAACGTTCGCTAGAAAGGACACTGCAGAATTCTAGAAACAGGTAACATGAGAGTTTGACCATGAATGTAGGAATTAGTTTAGACGACTGTCTTGCGGAACGTAAATCATAGTTATTGTGAGATGGATGAAGAAAAATAATATGGAGTCGGGGGCGGATCCAGAGATGTCCAAA